CAGTGAGTTTCTTACCACACTCACAGTCTGACTGACCTTCATTATTGTTCCAGCAGTCATAGATGGTAGTTGTGGTGTCAAAGTTTATATTTTGAGGTGAAAAGTAGTTGATTTTCTTAGCCAAACACTTTTTAAACTTATAATAAATATTCACTGCGCAAGCTACTAATATGCATGTGAGGTTCCCACTACATCAGGAGAGACTGGTCACCTCGTCAATCACTGGAGCCTGAGATGAAAAATGTTCAACATCCACCTCTCATTGAACCAAACAAAAATTTGCTACCACCGCTACACATAAAATTCGAAATCATGAAAAATTTTGTAAAAGCTATGGACAAATCCGGTCAGGGATTCAAATACTTAACATCAAAATTCCCCTCACTGAGCGACACTAAGATAAGAGAGGGAGTCGTCAATGATCCTCAGATTCGAGAGCTTCTTAAAGATGGTGACTTTAAATCAGACTTTCATGGGGAGGAGAAAGCTGCTTGGGAAGCATTCAAGTTAGTGGCGATGGGATTTCTGGGAAACAGAAGGGAAGGCAACTATGATGAACAGGTGGAAAACCTCATCAAGGCTTGCAAGAACACGGGATGTAACATGTCACTTAAAATCCACTTTTTGGGCTCACATTTCGACTTTTTTTCCAGCAAACTGTGGGGCAGTTAGTGACGAACATGGTGAAAGGTTTCACTAAGATATTCCAACCATGGAAAAATAGTACCAGAGCAAATGGGTCACAAGAATGCTTGCAGAAAATTGCTGGACATTGACAAGAGATGATCCTTCAGCCCACTATAAGCGTCAAGCAAAAAGACAGAGTAGGTACGGATTAGCGTTTAAACATACTGACACATATTGTACGTTATAATAAAATAATCAAATATTACATATCTCGTATCTTTAAACCTATAGCCAATAAGCATTTTTCAAGGTGATATTTGGATTCAGGACATGAATTAACTAATCTCAATTAAGAAGCATACAACTTTTCAAAAATTGTTGACCAGTGAATCATTCATTAATGAAAAATTACGTTACGTGATCTAATTTTCCTATATGATTACTTTTTACAACTCAAGATGAGTCCCAGGACAGTAATTTCCTCAGTGTACAGCAAACTTGATAAAGCACTTCTCCATTAAATGGATATCGGATATCGGCTTAAAAGAAAAAAAATCTGGCCGAACAAAGGCTTAATAAGTCCGTTTAATGGATGGTGGTGGATGAGGAGGTAGATTGTGGCGGTGGATGGAGGTGGTGGATGGTGGTGGTGGATGAGGAGGTAGATTGTGGCGGTGGATGGAGGTGGTGGATGGTGGTGGTGGATAAACGTGGTGGTGAATGGAGGTGCTGGAAGGAGGTTCTGGATGGTGGTGGTGAATCATGATGGTGGATGATGGTGATGAAAGGTATTTTTGTTCTTTGCTGTTGGCCTTAGACTTTGTATGTTTACAAAGATAAATGTTAGTCATATTAATGAAATGTAGTGGGTCTTTGTTTATTGGCTTTAATATCTGTTGTTCTGGAGTGGAAGTCACTGACTTCCTCTCACTAAAAAACCTCCATCTCTGGAGTGGCTTTTGGCTCCGCTTTTTTGTTTCCCATGGTATGGATGATCTGTATCTTCTTGTCCCCTTTAGATGCCTGACAATATATGTTGTAGCATTGTTTTTCATGGATTGACGAATGACACATTTCAGAGTGAAACACGTTACAAGAAGAAGAGTTGCATTTTCCAGTTGATATGTGAGTGCAGCATTTTTTGGGATGGTCAAAAATGCATGTCCCACTTGTTTTTCCATTTTTAAAGGGCCATTAGACTTATTGAAAACTCGCTTGATTTTCCACATCTAGGACAAATTTAGGTTGTTAGGAATCAAAAATAGCATTAAAGGAATGTACAACAACCTATGCTTTAAACCAAAGATACGAACATACTGATTGTGTGCAGAAACAATTATCTTCTTGCACATGACCATTGAGTAGAAGCCTAATAGGGGCCAAGCTAACCTGGGATAGTCAACGGGTACACTCTAGTTAGGGACAGACTCCACATGAACGTAAGTCAGTTCCACTGCTCTTGTTCATGAGGAACTGAGATCTTGCTGGTTCTTCTACTTATTAAGAGTAGCAAAGAAGATAAACCAATAGAGGCTTGTGGGGGCGTAATTTTCAATTTTATAAGAGCAGCATCAGCAGTGATTGCCTTAGTCAAGAACCTCATAAGCTTCCACATCCATGGATTGTAACAGTTCTAAGAATATGATCTGTGCCTCTCTCTCTCTCTCTCTCTCTCTCTCTCTCTCTCTCTCTCTCTCTCTCTCTCTCTCTCTCTCTCTCTCTCTCTCTCTCTCTCTTATATATATTATATATATATATATATATATATATTTATATATATATATATATATATATATATATATATATATATATATATATATATTATATACATATACATAAATGTTACAACTGCAGCAATGAGAAACATTTGTAGATATGTGTAAGTTGTGTAAACATGTATTGAGAACAATGTGCTGAAGACAACTGGTCAATATAAGTATGTTGTTCATAATATGAGTCTCACGGGCCATAGAAGTTACTGGAAAATGCAAAAAATAATTATAACCCCAGAAAAAAGTACAAAATAATAAAAGAGAAACATGGAGTGCGTGGCAACACTCGCCGGTGTAGATGTCAAAGGATGAGTATTGATGATTTTTTTTAATCTATAGGAATTTTCTTATAATTTAGACATTAATAGCAGTTTTAATTTTGGGGTCTGAGCAGTGAAAGGGTTAATAAAAATATGCTAGTGAACAAAATCCAGAATTGTAGTTTTTTTAATTTTGTATGATACTTCAAACTTTTGTCCTCCCAATTTCTTCGTCCAAAATAGCCGAGACGTTAAGAGGATTTAATGTAATCGAAGAAAAGTCAAAAGCCTGTAGTAACACTTCTTGTTTATCATGTAGATAGTTGTGGAATTTTTTTATAGTTTTCCTGAACGTAGAGTATATAAATGTGAGTAGATAATATATTGTGTGCAAAACTGTGACGCTGATTTGACCTTCGAGAAATTTCAAGGAAGAGGAGGAACCAGCACCGTGGAGGACTACACGAGGGAGATGCTCAAATATGGCGATGTAATAATGGTTGTAAAAGTGGTTTAGTAATCTGGCTTCATTGAGGCCGAAAACGGGTGTATCGGCTGGAATTAAGGATTAAGAATTGTAGTAAATGTACAAATTCCGTATGGAACAACTATAATATTTGCTGTCCTGTTGAAAAATAAAAGGACACTGAATCTTCTGGGCAGAACATAAACTGCTGAGTAAAAATTCTATCTCAGTTTTATGCAGGGGTTGGGCAGCCTTAATAATAATAATAATAATAATAAAAATAATAATAATAATAATAATAATAATAATAATAATAATAATAATAATAATGATAATTATAATAATAATAATAATAATAATAATAATAATAATAAAATAATGATAATTATAATAATAATAATAATAATAATAATAATAATAATAATAATAATAATGATAATTATAATAATAATAATAATAATAATAATAATAATAATATATATTTATTTCTACAAGTAAATGTACAAAGTATACAGTCCTAGCTGACATCAATGACATACTACTATATAAAAAGTTCCTTTTTATGCAGAGCATTCGGGAAAATTAAGTCAATTTTGTCCAATGCGACCCACCCCAGCCCCCACTAAACCCAGGTACCCATTGTTACTGATGGTGAACATAAACAACCGGTGTGGGAAAAACAGCCCAAATGTTTCCCCCCCTTTTGACGGGAAAATCAAACCCGGGACCCTCACTGTTTTGAAGCTTTTGCAAAGGGCCACGAGAGGTGTTTGAGTGATCTATCAAACCTACTTATTGGTAGGTGTTATAAAGGGGTTGTTTTTATATAAGTATATTATGCAAACTTTTTACAGAAAAGTATTCTAAGCACGACCCAAATTCTTTTTTCATTTCCCATCAAAAACCAAGATACAGCCAAATTTTAGTTTACCAAGTTACTGGTTTTTTTTATTCAGAATTGTTTATAGGCCCCACTTTGTTTTGTGGTTTTGAGGGGGTGGGCACGGGGAGGTGCAGTGTTGGACCTTCTGTCCCTCAAGTCCCCACCTCTCTTCCACAGTGAGAAAAATTATCTTATTTCTACCGGGCCCAAATTTTAATAACCCGACACAGGGCCAACCCTTCTAGGGTAGGGTAGGGCCGACCCGAGCTTGTAGCTCATAAGATGCATTCCCCTTTGCCCCCCTTTGGGGCGGGGATGGCAGACCCGAGAGGCCTAGCTTGTGGCAGGCCAGGACAAATTTGGGCCCCAAAAATGGGGGGTCTTGTGCCTCCTCCCATGGAAGACTTAGGTCTCAGACACTTCCTAAAGAGGGAGCCAAGGCCGGGCCACCACTTGGAAAAGGCTCGGGCCGGGAGAATACCGGCTAATCTTTAATAATAATAATAATAAATAATTTATATGGATGTAAAAATTCAGGTTAATGCCTATGAACCCCATGCAAATAATTTTTGAAAATAGTTTACCCCACAACAACAACACAGTAAATACAATGAAAGCACAAATAATGCAAAGGATTGAAGTTCTTCTTCAGTCTTATTCATTTGCGTTGCATTCACTACATTCACTTATTATATTATTCACCTTACATATCTTGAAATTACATAACGTATTGATTTAAAAAATTTAACAGTGTAGTTAAGCGAACTCTGCCTATACAACTACTATGAACCTAGCAGGCTGAGGTTATGGAGTACAGAAGATACTTCGCAAATCACAGAGACCTGAAATACACCAATACAAGTCTAAAGAGATGCAGGAAAAATTACATTCCTAGATCCATAATCGTCTCAATAATATACTTAAAAATCATACATATTTGATGCAATACAGCATAATGAGGAAGTCAGTTTATCATGCATTATAAAACTTACCTCTGAACACAGTTTAGTTAAAGCATCCATCTGGTACTTGTTGGCTAGACAGTAGACCTGCACTGCCAGTTTTATGCTGGAGAACTCTGTGCTGCCACAATACAAGTATTTCAATAACCAGTTGAAGGATTCTGGTGGATCATCAGGAAGGCTGAGGTTCTCTTTCTCGGCCAGAGGACCAAACAACATGACTTCAAACACTGGAGAACTCATTGCCAGAATCAATCGGTGAGCCTGTAAGGTTACAGTGGATTACACATTAACTTATACTACAGTAAGATTTGTCTTAGGAAATATTCTTCAAGATTACCAGGAAAGGTGATCAAGATTTAACTCTTAACACTACCAGGGAAGGTGATCAAGAGTTAAATTTTAACATTACCAGGGCTCATATCTTATAGTGAAACATTACTTAGTCATCAGATAAAACGCATAATTACTAGTGTAATCTTTCTAGTAGTCAACAGGTGTCAATTAAAATATTTTTGGGTTTAGAAGTATTATATATATATATATATATATATTTAATATATATATATTAATATATATATATATATATTTATAAATTAATATATATTATATGTATAATATTATATATATATAATATATATAATATTATATTATATATTTTATATAATTATATATATATGTATATATTATTATATATATATATATATATATATATATTATATATATATATATATATATATATATATATATATATATATATATATATATATATATATATATATATATATAAATAGATAAGAGATGATTGTGGATGTTATGAATGAGAACAAGCTGGATGTCCTGGCTTTAAGTGAAACAAAGGTGAAGGGGGTGGGAGAGTTTCAGTGGAGAGAAATAAATGGGATTAGGAAGAGGAAGAGCTAAAGAAGGAGTAGCAATAATGTTGAAGGATAAGTTATGGCAGGAAAAGAGGGACTATAAATGTATTAATTCAAGGATTATGTGGAGTAAAATAAAGGTTGGATGTGAAAAGTGGGTTATAGTAAGCGTATAAGCACCTGGAGAAGAGAGAAGTGTAGAGGAGAGAGAGAGATTTTGGGAAATGTTGAGTGAATGCGTGGGAAGTTTTGAACCAAGTGTGAGAGTAATGGTGGTTGGGGATTTCAATGTTAATTGGTAAAAATGTTGTGGAGAGAGTAGTAGGCAAATTTGGGGTGCCAGGGGTAAATGAAAATGGGGAGCCTTTAATTGAGCTATGTGTAGAAAAAGGATTGGTAATAAGTAATACATATTTTATGAAGAAGAGGATAAATAAATATACAAGGTTCGATAAAGCACGTAATGAAAGTAGTTTGTTAGATTATGTAACGGTGGATAAAAGGTTGATGGGTAGGCTCCATGATGTAGACGTTTATAGAGGGGAAACTGATATATCAGATCATTATTTAGTTGTAGCTACAGTTAGAGTAGGAGGTAGATGGGAAAAGAGGAAAATGGCAACAACAAGCAAGAGGAAGTGAAAGTGTATAAACTAAGGGAGGAGGAAGTTCGGGTGAGATATAAGCAACTATTGGCAGAAGGGTGGGCTGGTGCAAGTATGAGTAGTGACCCCTTGTTTCTGTGTCCCCTCTCTGGAACAACCTGTCTCTGTCTACCTTATCTATTCCACGCAGTATTTTGTATGTCGTTATCATGCCCCCCCTGACCCGCCTGTCCTCCAATGTCGTCAGTCCAATTTCCCTCAACCTTTCTTCGTAGGACATGCCCCTGAGCTCCGGAACTAGCCTTGCCGCAAACCTTTGTACTTTCTCTAATTTCTTGACGTGTTTGACCAGGTGTGGGTTCCAAACTGGAGCTGCATACTCCAGTATGGGCCTGATGTACACAGTGTACAGTGTCTTAAATGATTCCTTACTAAGGTATCGGAACGCTATTCTCAGATTTGCGAGGCGCCCGCATGCTGCAGCAGTTATCTGGTTGATATGTGCCTCCAGAGACATGCTCGGTGTTATGGTCGCCCCAAGATCTTTCTCCTTGAGCGTGGTTTGCAGTCCTTGGCCACCTAGTCTATACTCTGTCTGCGGTCTTCTTTGCCCTTCTCCGATCCTCATGACTTTGCACTTGGCAGGGTTGAATTCATGAAGCCAGTTGCTGGACCACATGTCCAGCCTGTCCAGGTCTCTTTGAAGTCCTGCCTGGTCCTCATCTGATTTAATTCTCCTCATTAGCTTCACATCATCTGCAAACAGGGACACCTCTGAGTCTATCCCTTCCATCATGTCATTCACATATACCAGAAATAGCACTGGTCCTAGGACCGGGCCCTGCGGGA